CGGCCAGTGGCCACTTACATATTTCCTTGCATTAGTTTATACTTTTCATCGTACTAATTACGTTGTATATCATTACATAATATCATCTTATCTTGCACTCTACTACGAAGTCGTGAGACCGAGATCCTCCCGAGGGAACACCCCTACTGCCCCCCTGCATGCCTGAGCACGTGTATAACTGCTCCATGACCCCGGTGTTGGAGGGGTCCCTAACTAGGGTCACAGGTTCCCTCGCCAAAGGGTTACAACGGCGGTGAGTGCCAAAGTCCGCGGTGCTCGCCCCTCTGGTCCATACAAGGGTAGCGAGTGCTCTTGCGCACCTACCCTTGTACTCTCCAGCACGGTGAGCCTTCTAGCGAAGAACCCGTATCACAACACTCAACACTAGACAACATTTTTTTCAGAGTTTTCAGGTACATTATTTCAGTATCGAGATCAGGGGCGGTGTTGTTCGGCCAAGCGCTCTGATGTGCGGAAGCTTCCGGAATCGATCCCCGAGATGATCGAAGCACTGCGTAATATTTTAATATCTTTTTCTCTGACTTTCCCCCGGGTTTTTCGTGCACTTATTTTAATAATTTCCGCCAGTATTGAGCCAGATTCCAACAGCAACAAAGAAGAATATACACTTGCAACTGGGCGGCTGGTCTCTTGGGAGGCTTACTAGCCGAAAATTGAGAATGAATTTCGTAGTGATTGTACATAAATGTATTTTGCATCCAGAATGTGAATAAACGGTTGTTCTTGTTGAGGTTACCTATACGTCATCTCTTTCAGTCAGCCAACCTTTGGCTGTCACCGGGTTGCCCTCTAAAAAATTCATACCATAGGGAAAAAGTCAGTCCTTTGTCATTAAAAAATAGCTAAAGATCAAAGGTTTGTGATATTAGTTGCCAAAATACTGTAAACTCAGATTTCGCACATATGATACACATTACCATACTTTTACAGTGCACTGGCATGATCGGGAATCTCCCGTTGCTGCGCCGCTGATGATTTTCTTCCAGTCCCTCCAATGGACTGATCAAATAATTGGCTTTGATGTTTTGTGGCCCTGGGACTGGTTTGAGTCCAAGAAACTCATTCCAACCAAACTTGAATATATTGCCAAATACCTTCCACATATATACATGAACTCCGATTGGAAGATCATCGATCAATCGCACCTCCTGTCAATCAACCTCACCTCTGCCCGATCAGACACACTTCCCAGGCCCGGAAAATCAAAGACCTTGCGCTTTGGAGTGCCTCGCGTTCAATGTGCACTTGAGAATACAAATTCATAGTAGAGTGTTCGAAGTTGGGCGTTCGAACTTCAAGTTGAGAGTTCGAACTTCAAACTTATGATTACCCCTTTGGGACATGTACCATGTGATTGACCCTTCAAAAGTACGGCGTTCAATTTCAACTTCAAACTTCAAAGTTGCCAAAAAGTTCGACGTTCGCGTACAAAGTACCCTCAAACTACGCCCCGAGGATTGAAAGTACCTTGAAACTACGGAGTTCACCACAAAACTTCGATTATTGAGCGAAAAAAGGTCTCATACCGGCCCGACAAATACGAATACGATATGATAGTAGAGATACAAAAGAGCGCATGCATATCATCAAGGGGTCGTTACATTATGTAGGTAAAGAATGAGGGGATGTATGTAAGCTGTGTAGGCAGCGGATACCGTAACTCCGCGTGGCAGCAAGGTACAGGCTGAGGTAGCTATAAGACTACGCGCGGTACAAGGAGCTGTAAGCAACAAGCATGATGATGATGGAGTCCATTAGGGGGAGGATGCGGGGATGGATGGCGATGGCGATCGTGATGGTGATACAAGAAAGTAAGGAAGTGGCCAGCAAGGAAGTGACCAGCATGTATGCAAGTCGGAAGTAGTAAGCAGCGGTATGCAGTACGCATAATACGCATGGAAGCAAGCAAGTCAAGTCAAGTCGGAAGCCTAAGTCGGAAGCACAGCAAGTCATAACCATAACCCTCTCTAGCCCAGCCCAGCCCAGCCCACCCTCGGGCACGACGCACGGAGCGCACTACGTCTCCGCCAACCCGCGCACATACCCCATCACCTTCTCCCTTACCTCCCGCCCGGGCACCTTGGGCAGCACAGCGATGAGGCTCGCGCTCATGCGCCGCGCCATCATCGTCGCGCGCGGCCGGATGGGCCGGCGCGTGCGCAGGCGCGCGAGGATCGCTTTGCGGAGGCCCCATCTGTGGGAGGGGGCGCGTTAGCGAGGGTTCGAGGAGGATGGAGGTGAAATGAAAGGGGGAAACAAAAGGAAGAAAAGAACGCGAGGTGTGGGCCCGACGGACGACGCTCAGCCGAATCCAGCCGCACAAGCAACTCGGCGATGCAGGTCCCGCGTCAGCCAGCCACAGCCGTCTGTCAACGCCGCGCAAGCGCGCGTTCGCACTCGCGTCGAGTCAGCGCTCGCACACGTGCGCCGTGTACCGTCCAAGGCACGCGCCCCGACCCATACGGGCGACCCCGCCGTGCAGAGCGGATTTGCGGCGTGCACGGCTCGCACACGTGCAGAAACGCGCGCCTACACTTCGCGAGGTCCCCCTCCCCAAACATCTCCTGTCCCGCCACCAAGCCCAAAGCCCCAAGCCCCAAAAACCAGCAAATAGGTAAATAAGAAGATGCTCACCTCCCGCCCCTCTCCCCCGCCTCCAACCACACGCCGGGGCTCACCCACCCCGCCGGGCCGCTGAGCCACCTCTGCCCGCCCCGCGATAGTAGCGTACTACATAGGCTCGCAGTCAGCAATCGAGCCGGACATGGTGACGCAGACGGAAAGACACGCACCTGGACAAAACCCTCAAGCGCTGCAACGACCACGGCTGCCGCACGACCGCGGCGTGGTGTGCGAGCGAGCGCGCGTCGGCGTGGACGTCCGGCGCGAGCGGATGCCGCTTCGGGCGCTCCACGCCAGACTTGTCTGACCCATCGATGCCCACCTCGGGCGCCTTCTGCACCACGACGCCCTCCCCGTTGACGCTCGAGGCGACCCGTTGGCGGTGTCTCCGCACAAAGCCCGCGACGCACCCGCGGAACCACATGGCGTGCATGGGGAAGACGAGGACGAGGATGCCCGCGGGGACGCGCAGGCCGGGCGTCGCCACTAGTCCGTACAGCAAGACCAGGTGGAAGGCGATGCGCGTGGCGAAGAAGGTGAGGGCAAAGACGACGTTGGAGCGGAGCGCGGGGAGGAGCGTGGACGCGCCGAGGATGAAGGTGGGGAGCTCCATCACGGCGGCGAGGCAGAAGAGGTGCGCCCAGCCGCTCCGGATGGCGGTCTCGGTGATGAGGATGTAGAGCACGTGATGGACCCAGCCGGTGAGGAGGCCAATCTGGGACCGGTAGCAGAGGCCGCCAACGAGCATGTCTGCTGTTAGGTAGGCCTATTTTCCTGTTAGCATTACTCGGGACCGGGGTAAGATAGGAGTAGAGAACGCACCTGGAAAAAACGATTAACGCCCACAGACCACACCCTAGCCTCCACGCCTCGGACGCCGCCCATTGTGAGATAGTCGCGCACGCAGGGGAGGGCAAAGGCAGTCATGACGCTCGAGGCGAGGGTGGTGAGGATCCACGCACGCTGGCGTACCGCAGGGAAAAAGGGCAGGAGTGCGGGGTACGCTGCGACCAGGGTGATTAGGGCAGGGAGGAAGACTGTCCCCTCCGTTCTCCAGGATGTTGCTGCATCTTTCAAAGTGGCAATAGAGAACGAGGACGCGGCAATGGCAAAGTTGTCGGCGTCGGCGAGGGGCGCGTGCGGGGCGGGGACGACGCCCAGCAGGTCGAACATGCTGGCTTTCCTGCTCGAACTAGACAAGATAAGAGAAGGAAAAGGAAAGCCGCTGAAGCAAGTAATTAAATGAGACGATGCCCACGTTCGCGAGCGATTGCAATGTTAGTCACATCACGCTGTCCCACGTCTTTCCCGATATGGAAATCTACGGGGGTCCACCGGAAACGTGCGCGTATGCGATTGTTTGGGGCGTTGGGGAGGAGCTGTGGCAGACGCCGAGGCGGGACTGCGAGCGGAATCAGATTTGGAGTCAGAAGGAGTTCAAGGGAGCCTAAGGGGAGTGTCAGAAAAGCAGTGAGTCTCCATTTCGACACAGCGCCTCCACAGCACACACACCACAAAAGAACCTCTCACCTCTTTCCCTCGCGTGCGCAGCCCACCCAAAAGCCTATCTGCTACATCCGCAAACGTGAGCATGCGGATCATTGGGAAATACCTCGCCTCGTGAGTCTTCGCCTCGCCTCGCCTTTCTCGTGTCTGGCCTCGAGCCCCGAGCCCGCGGATATTCGCAACGCTAGCTTCGACGCACTGTGCGTGAATTTACGCGACGACTTCTTGGAATTCCAACTGCCTCGTTCGCCGTCGCGCGTTCCATTTCGAATACCGCATCCCGACAAACGTGCCCTATCCGGATCGACCAACGGATTCTTTGACTTTCCGCGCCCGAGTTCCGAGGTAGCCCATCGTGCAAAGTCGGATGCGAGGCGCATTTATTGTGGAGGAGGAAAAGAGGAAGAAAAGAAAGAAAGATTGCCGAGCTCACGCATGAGGCCTGGATGACGTTGGTCTCGAGTATGTACGCGCCGGGCCGTTCGACCGACCTCTCAAGTTCCCGCACAACCGCCTAAGTACCAAGATACAAGTGTATGTCCTATACGCAAATTCAGCCCCCTCATGAAGCCTCTGTGGACAAATGGTGTGTCGCCCGTAGCAGATTAGCAGATACCTGTAAAGCTGAAATGGGAGGTGAGGGTTCGAATCCCTCCAGAGGCATGAGTCGGCTTTTCGAAATTTCTTTTCTTGTTCGCTTTTCTGTTTCCATCAGTCGTTCTTGTTTTTCCCTCGTTGTGCGCAATATTACTTACTCTCTCTTAGAAACCAACTCTCTATGTGTGCCCTAGCAATGCACCCCTACGTGCAGTGTATCATACTTAATCCACCACCGTTACTGCAAACTCATTGCCTCCGTGGACTATGGTGGTCACCAAATACATTTCATCCACCTCTTGAATGCAAACGTAACTTGGAGGTGAGGGTTCAATTCCCTCCGGAGGCATGTTATGATCTGATGATCGTCTGCTTGTTTCTTTTTGCTTTTGCTTTGTTTCACAGATACGTTTTGAAATTGTTTCCTCTCCATTGCAAGTCCGACTTGGCCCAAGGTGGGATCATTAGGGAGGTTGTGAAAAAGCCGCACGAGCCGCATGCGGCTTTTTTTGCATAGTGCAAAGCCGCATGCGGCACCGTGCGGCTTTTGTTTCCCCATATATTATGTATTCAGATCTGTCAGACCTTGCACGCAGTGCTTTGAAAGCTGTCAGGGTTGTTTCTGGCATGGGCTGAGGTGAAGAAGTGTGAAAAATGACCTTTTTCGGCTGCATCACGGCCATAGCCGCACAGTGGCTCTCGCGAAGCGAAACAACGACGTACGCACATCACGTGTGGCAATTGGTTCAAAGTGCTGTGCAGAACCTAATTTACCAGTGTTTCGTCGAAATGAACGTGGATACGGTGCTAAAACCTTCAGTTGATTGTGCGGCTTTGCACAATGCAAAAAAGCCGCCTGCGGTTTGTGCGGCTTTTGCACAACCTCCCTATTTGTGCAGTTGTGCAGCTGTTGATTCGGCTTGAATGCACCTTCATCTTCCCTCAACTCTAAGCACATGCCGCCATACTATTACTTACCATCATCTCAGCATCCATAGACATTCAAGCCTCGGAGACAACCGGTACGTCGCCCATTCCAGGTTCAGACATTTATCGGAGATTTGTCGGACGTGGGCGTTCGAATCCTATCCTTCCCGAGGCGTGGAGCAGGCAGGTTACTCAGCTCTTTTTTCAGGTTCATGATTTTTTTCTCGTTTTGCTTCGGACTTAGCCCTTTTTTCTCTTGCCATGCTTTGATATTTTTGTTTCATCCTGTTTCTGCTTGTCCTCCCAGTCCCTGTTTTCTGTCTGATAATTTACACACTCCGCTCAAAATCCAACATACGCACACCCCACACCTGGCTATTCCATACTACGCTAAGCCTCTGTGGACAAACTGACGTCGCTCAGGTAGTAAGAGCGAGCAATACCATCAATACCATAAGTATATCTATGGGAGATGAGGGTTCGACTCCCTCCAGAGGCATACGATGAATTTTCTACAATCTTTTTTTCTCGTTCTGTTTTCTTGTTCTATTTTTGGTTCCCCAGTCATAATATTGTTCCTCTGTTCCCTCCGCGCTTCTACCGCGTGCGCAATATTACTTGCACATAAATATAAGAGGAAGAAAAATTCCTCTTCTCTTGATGGTCTCCCATAGTTGTTAACAATTCACCTCCACCCCTAAGCCTTTTTGGGACAAACAGTGACTCCGGCAAGGCATCAAAGTTGGCGCCGCATTGCCGAAAAGAACAAGATATGATCCAAGAGGCGCGCAATAGGAAAGTTCCTGACACAGACCTGCCAAAGTCGGGAACACCCTCTCTAAGACTTCTCGTTTTTCCTATTTCTTCGTTTATGTCAGTCTCGGAAGAAGCCCGGAGCCCAGAACGCCGCTCGTTATCTGCTGTATTCGTGGTCCTGGTCGGGTCATTTGGCATACTTATTAGTATCTTTAATTTGCAGGGCGATGGTATTCATTCGAAAACATTCAACGTATCCCGTATTTGCTTTCGGTAGTGGCAGAGGGTTCGATTCCCTTCGGAGGCGTCCGTCTTCTCCCACCTTTAGGCTTTTTAAAAATTTACCTTTGTCGTGTTGCGTTGCGTGTTGAAGCTCCGCTTTATATGCTGACTAGTACTCTTTTAGCTCCGTCTTCGAACTTGAAATTGCGCTGGGAGGACCAGAACCTGAGTATTATTCGAGGATAAGTAGCACATCCTTGTTTGTTGTCTTGCAGGTACCGGCGAGTCATTTGAAAATTGAAATTGACAGCCCACCGTCAAGCCTCTGTGGACTGGTGGTAGTCGTTTGGGACTTACAGGCACCTATGGAGAAGCTTTTGCAGTGTCCTTCCAGAACTGACAGAAGAGGGTTTGAATCAGATTTTCATTTTTTCATTCTTATCTTCAAAAGTTGACAGTCTTTCTTGGCTTCTTTGCGGGTGCTCCTTGTGAAGCTTCAAAGTTCAAACCCTTGCTTCTCTAAAGACTAAGAATTGTTGTTTCTGCTTTTTATCTTATTTTACATCTCCAGTCTCAGAGGTGACTTGGCGTATGGACTCGGAGATTCAAGTGCAGGGGGTCATTTGAATTTTGACCCTCTCAAGCAAGTCTTTCAAGTGGACGATGGCAGTCGTTCGATCAATCTGACAGGCACCTCAACATCGATCTCTTCGAGCGGAGAGGGTTCGAATCCCTCCGGAGGCCTAAAAGGAGCATATTCTTTTTTCTGTTTATTTTGAACTTGTTCGTACGTGGCCTCCTCGATCTACTGCGCATGCGAGGCGAGGGCACACCGGATAAGGGAGAATCTTGACGTACAGAGAAAGGCCAGTCGAAGACGAGGGACCACGGCAAAATTCACACAGCCTTTCAGCTGGAAGTAGAGATTTTCTTTACTCATCCGGTGTGAGGGAGCACAAGGTTTGAGCCCAAACAAATATTCTCAACCTTGACTCTTTTGAATTTCAAGGTGTGGAATCTCTGAACCTGGGGCTCTGTGACCTGTGACGTCGCGTTGAGCTGCACTTAACCACACTTTTTCGGTATTCGGCGTTGAGGATGATTCACTGCATTCAGCCGATCTCTCGGCATGCCAAATTCTAGCCCTACCGAGCCTGGCTAGCAACGCCTAGACACTCGGCTAAGCTGTCGAGGCCATCTACGCCGAGGGACCCCTCTGAATGCAGTGATTGGCCCCAAAGGCACATTGAATGTATGTGTCGATTGTTTCAAAAGGAACTGTGCCATTAGGCAGTGTCTAATGCGAACTTGCGGGCAGATAATAAACGACTCAAATTGAATGGTTCAAATTGCGTCGCGGAGTGCGTCAACGTCCTCAAACAAAGAGTGAACAACGCCTCGGAGTATGATTCTATTCAATAATGTCGACAGAGGTCTCCTCTGCCTACGCAGCGGAGGATCAGTCCACTCAACTGCACGTTTCTCACCTGTATTCCTGGTTGCCTGATAAAGTTGAGTTTTCTGTTATGAATTTATTCATCCAATGAATCAGCCTGTGGCACATCGTCGCATGAATGCGGATCCGGGATGTAGTAATTGAGAACTTGAGGAGACGGCGATCAGTACGGGTGGGAGGATTAGACCTGGTGACACACCGTTGATTTCTCCAGATTTCCGCTTCGCAATGAAATTGTCTGCCCGCGACCAGTAATCACCTCCTGTGAGTACGCCCTCGCTCCAGTCCTCTAGGTAAGATGGGCAATGCATCGCCACGAAGCGCGACTCGTGTGCTAACTCGGAGACTTGGTATTCATCCAAGAAGTTTCCCGTCATCGGCCGGATGAGTAAAATGACCAGGACTTGTAGGCATTCCCACATCGGCAGGAGGGTGCAACATTTCGGGAGCAAATCCGGCTCATTGAGGGCGAAATGGGTCAAGTGAGAAAGCCGTGTGAATTCCGACCACACGTCTCCGTTGATGCCGTCCCAGGATCGGTCAAAAATCTCGAGATGGGTCATGACAGAAAAGAGTCGGTGGGTGAGGTCGATTCGGGAGGAACCAAAGAGGCTGTGCAGTGAGCAGTGAAGCCGCTTCAACGGTAGATCAAACTGCAAAATGTTCATTGTCTGCGCCGTTAACCAAAGGTTTTCAATGGCGGAGCAAGTCGACAAGATAAGGGCCTCTTCGTTTTCGAGGCAGTGTGCGAGACGCAGATTGCGCACTGAATACTGGAAGAACGTGGGTGGTTTCGAATGAATGAATGTAACAAGCTCCCCAGCCGTCATTGAGAATGGAAGAGTCTTTGCATCGAATTTGTCGTGATTTACATCGGGTGAATCGCCCACAATGATGGTCCGGTACAGAAGCGGCTCTAACCTGATCAAATTCAGTCGGAGTGAGATTACTGACATCGAGAAAAAACGAGCCATATTTTAACCCGCCACGCAACCAGCATGAACTTGGGGATTAATCTGGGCCAAGAAAGGGCGGCAATTTCGAAGATTGCCTGCTCCAGCTCGGGAGGGAATGCGGACGAAGGCGTTTCGGCAGATGACATGGGATGGATGTGAGCGGGAGGAAGAGCTGGGGTCTACAGATCAAGTCGAGGTGGTCGTTCTAGGGAGAGAGGCGCCCAAATAAAGCAAAGCCTTGACACTGCATTTGTGATTGCCGCGCCGCGGCACCGCTTTTAGGCCAGGCGCGGTAGCGCCTACCCAGCTTGTTGGATTGTTCATACTCCTTTGGCTTCGTCCTTGCATGAGGATATACAGAACCCGTTCCATGCGCACATTCACAAGTGCGTCACATTCAGCTCAACTTTTATCCTTCTCTTTCCCTTTGAGTCAAGTATACTGTATTCAACCCGTTGTGTCCGCCAATATCAATCCCAGGTAAATCTCGGACATGATGCCCCACTCACCAAGTATTCTCAACTCAACGTACCCTGAATTCCATTTCGCTATGCATACAATATCATAATGTACCACCGTTACACCATGTAAACATTAGAGCTCAGTCGGGGCACAATAAGGTGAACGACTGTACTGAATATACCAGTGAACAATAGAGCTACACTGGGAGTAAATAAGTAAGAGAATAAGTAAATGGGAGTCTAACCCTGTCAAGCCGATGTGTCCGAGACATTGGTGCCACGTCCCTCTGCTGGCAGGCAAGTCTCTCGACCTTGCTGTGGCAGCAGTCACACTGGCTTCGTGAAAATCCACCCGGTACATCCCACCACAAAGTACGGCCTCCATGAACAGTGAGCCTGCGGGTGTCTTGAATACAACCTTCCCGTTTCTAAACTCAACGGAAAACCCCTTTTCGTCCAGACGCGAGATGGATTTAAGGTTGATGGTGAAATCGGAAGTATGGAGGGTGTCAAAGGTGACGAAATGCTGCTTGCCCTCTACATGAAAGAGTTCCGCACTTTGCCAGTCCCA